GCACGGAGACTCGCAGTACTACATCATGTTTGGTGAGTCCTGTTTGTTTTTCAGAGGCGCTGAGGGTCCGATCAAGGAGAGAGCCCTATGAAGGATTTGAATAATGTTAATAAGTGATCGTGTGTGCAGGTCCTGACATCTGTGGGTACAGCACCAAGAAGGTCCACGTCATCTTCAACTACAAGGGTCAGAACCACCTCATAAAGAAAGACATCAAGTGCAAGGTAGGGGTCTCATGAAGCCGGTCTCATGAAGTCTGCTTTAATCATTCACACTTTTTCACACTTTTTTTTTTTTTTTTTTTTTTTTTTTTAAATGTCCTTCTGTGTCCCCCTTTCCCCCAGGACGACGAGCTGACCCACATGTACACCCTGATCCTGAATCCAGACCAGACGTACGAGGTGAGGATCAACAACGAGAAGGTGGAGTCCGGCTCCCTGGAGGAAGACTGGGACATGCTGCCCCCCAAGAAGATCCAGGACCCAGAGGCCAAGAAACCCAGCGACTGGGACGACAGGGCCACGATCGACGACCCCAGCGACACCAAGCCCGAGGTAGGAACAGCTGATTGATACGACGTGCAGAAAATCAGACATGAGACTCTTTAAGATCATTGATTCTTTTTTTTTAAACTATTTAACTGAGTGTCAACGTTACATCCTGAAAGTATCTGCTGGTGTCACAGATCTCTGTCAAGTCTCTGCTGACACAAACTGAGTGACAAGATGCTTCATTACACACCCAGCTAGCGCCGCGCAGGAAGTGGCAGCACTGTTTGGGATTGCTGGGTTCATCCACAAACATTTCAGAATATTCTCTTCTTCATTATCAGGGCTCACAGGATCTTATCGAGTGTTATTTAAATTGGTTAACATGGACAGCTCTGTGTGAGTTCAAGTCCCCAGCTGTGGTCAGCTGACAGCCAGCTGATCCAATCATAGCCTTTCTGCCTCCAGCCTTTGGGTCCCCCTTGTGGTGGGGTTTAGCACTGCACTCTCAGCTGACCCAGGGAGCATCCTCTGAGCAGAGCCTCAAACATCGAGCTCATCTGTGCATCCACTCTGCAATGAAAGGCTTACATTTAGGACTCCATTGTTCCTGACGTGGAGAGTGGGCATCATGACATCACATGATGTATTCATTTTTTTTATTAAAAAAAAAAGAGAATAATAATAAATTAGATTTATATAGCACTTTGTTCCCCCATTACACCTCCTGAACATTCAGTTTAAAGGTGAAAGGTCACAGGTTCATATCCTGTCTTGTGACGTCAGTCTGAAAAGGTTTAAAAACGTTTAAACTTTGAGTTTTTATCATGAATCACTGAGTGGAAACACAAACCCCCTCTGTCTTCCAGGACTGGGAACAGCCAGAGACCATCACTGACCCCGATGCCAAGAAACCTGAGGACTGGGACGAGGACATGGATGGAGAGTGGGAACCTCCTATGATCTCCAACCCAGAGTATAAGGTAGGTCTTCTGAAGAGGAGGACGTGCTGAGTCTGATTCATCACATAAATAAAGTGTTTCTGAGACGGGTGAGATAAAGGGTTACTGTCTTTGCAGGGCGAGTGGAAACCCAAGCAGATGGACAACCCGGACTACAAGGGCGCCTGGGTCCACCCCGAGATCGACAACCCAGAGTACAGCGCTGACGCTGCCATTTATAAGTTTGATAACATCGGAGTGCTCGGCCTGGATCTGTGGCAGGTAACGACTCGACCGGCTCTGTCAGGATTAAATGATAGATCCTAAAAGAAAAAGTGTTTTTGTCTTATGGAGTAGAAGATGTAAACAGATTTGTTTTCTCTGTTCAGGTCAAATCTGGAACCATCTTCGACAACTTCCTGATCGCCGATGACGTCCAGGAAGCCGAGGAGTTTGGGGAGAGAACCTGGGGAGTGACTAAGGTGAGAGGGGACCCAAATACTGAAAGTAGAGCTAACTGTACACTACACCGTCTACTCCCAACTTATCCAATGATCTCCTCCACGGGCTCTTTGAAGCATCTCAATTCTTTCAGATAGCAGTCAGTAGCAGGATGAACGAGAGGGGAAGTTTCATTCTTTAGTGTTGTATCATGTTCCAGTCTGCTCGTCTAAATGCACACATTTCAGACCTCCAGCTCGTTGCAGTGATCCATATTCTTCATCCTAAAACGGATTAAGTGATTTGTGATTACACTGCCTGCTTCTAATACCTAAACAAGGCTCTCTTTGTAGGATTTCCTGCTAGCATGCTAAGCTAGGTTTAAAGAAAAGCGTTTTTTACCTCAGGGCCATGAAGCTCAATCACACAAGAGTTATCGTTCAAATGAACCCTGACTGTCATCACACAGTAATGTATTTATCAGGGCGCGGGATGGCTTAGCGGTTATAAAGCGTGCCCCATGTACAGAGGCTGTAGTCCTCGTTGCAGTGGCCGTAGGTTTGAATCTGACCTTGGCCCTTTGCTGCCTGTCCTCCAAACACTTCCTGTCTCTCTGCAGCTGTCAGGCAAAAATGACCAAAAAATACCTTTTTAAAAAGAGAAATATTGATCTATGAACTACTTTACCTGCAGTGGGAGATCTTTTATTTTTTTTTATAGCAGACACACAACATGTTGTTTATGAGCAGAGTCATGATCTATAGAATTGATTGATTACATTGAAGCACATTTGAATTAAATGTGATGAGTAGCGGTCTGATGGTTTCAGAATGACCTGAACACCAAAGTTTAAACGGCTTGTTATCTTCCAACAGGGACCAGAGAAGAAGATGAAGGAGGAGCAGGAGGACTTGGAGAGGAAAGTGAGAGAGGAGGAGGAGAAGAGCAAGAAACAGGACACTGAAGACGCTGAGGAGGACGAGGAAGGAGGAGAGGAGGAAGAGGAGGAGGCAGACGAAGAAGAAGAAGGGGAACAGGACGAGGAGACGGAGGAGGAAGACAAGGAGATCAAAGATGAGCTGTAGAGGAGATGACTGGTGGACTGCAGCTTGTTCTTTGCAGATTAAGAAGAGAAAATCAGCGACAGCCCTAATGACACTGGCCTTTCATACAGCAGCCTTTTATTCAGGTGTGGGTGGGAGGGAGGCGTTGAACGCGGGGGTCAGGTCAGATCTTTTTTTAATTTTTTTTTTTATTGATTCCCTTGTTGCTTTTTTCCCCCCAGCCTCCAAATTCGAAAAGGGACAAAGGGGTTTACATGTTTGTGTCTTCTTGGGTTCAGAGTTTTATAATTGAATGTGATTTACTGAGCGTGGTCAGTTGGACGCTGTGTGTATGTGCAGTTACAGGGAGCCCTTTACTTTTATTACTGCCTTTTGTTGGGATGACCAGTAAATTAAGGGTTCTGTGTCGTCTGGTTCTTGCACTTTTATTTCTCCCGTGTGATGCAGAACTGCTTTTTGTTTTGAGCCCCTCATAATTTATTCAATCTTTGGTTCCCTTAAATCAGCTCACACTCTGGATGTGTCCTTCCTGCAGCCAAGCGAGTGGTGAGTGTACGCAATGAGACTGCTTCAGACAAACTGTGATTTAGAGTTTCTCATTGATCTTGTGAATGATCGACGGTCCTGTGGGTGCAGTGAAGCTTCTCACCACGAGGAAACTTGTTTTTCACAGTCGCTGTGGACGTGTGAATGTTTGTTTCAGTTTGTCAAAAAATAAAAATCTAATCTGCACAAGGCAGAGCCCGGGACGACATCATGTGCTTCATTGTGTGTTTTTTTTTTTTTTTTTTAAATGACTGCTCCTTTTTCACAGCTTTACTGTCTGCAGACTCTTATTTCACCACTAGGGGCAGCATGTGATCATCATTATAACATTTAGATTGAATCTTCTCAATCTCTTCAGAAACGCCATGATAAACACACACATGCATCAGGGGGGCCGTGTTCAGAGGGGAGGCTTTGGCCCTCTGTAATCTGATTGGCCACCCCAAAATCTGAATCTATGACTGGCTATTTATCCAATCAGATGCATTCATGTGCTCCTCGGCTGGTCCAAGTCTCAGAGTTTGGAAAGTCGGAATATTGTAACAACAAACATTGTGGATGCTGCGAAGAGGATGTGTGACTGTTTCTGTTAAAAGTGATATTTCAGCTAAAAGCTCGTGTAATAAAAAGTATCTTAATATTAACAAAACATATTGAGCCCCCCATGTGATGACGATTCTGACGTCAAGTCGGGCACCGACAGCGTACAATGGTTTGTATGCAATTTTCTAAGAACTTAAATTTGTGAGTCCCAAAGAATCGAGCTCAGAAAATGAACGTGTTACCAAATAGTGTTTTAAAAAGTCAAAAGTATATATTATTATTGGGAATAGAAAGGTGAAAATTCATTTGTGTGACGTCATGCCATCCCTGCAGACACACATTTGATATGAACAGAATTTGATGATGCTAGAAATAATAAAACTATAGTTAGGGAACTCTTGCACTTGGGATGTGAAACTTTTCTAAAAGGCAGAGTTGGTAATTTATTTTGAAATTAATAACTCATGTTCTCTGAAAAAGGAAAAAAGAAAATCCATCATGTGTATCAGCTGTAAGACTGTAAAAACTTTAACCAATGTCTGCTACAAGGTACCAATCTGATGAACCAATCACACCCTCCCTGTCACTTCCCGAGTACTGCCGGGTTGCCCTTGATCAAGGTTCCGAACCCCCACTAGCGCTTGCCCCTCACTCTGACATCTGTCCATCAGTGTGTGAATGTGTAGGTGTGAATGTGTAGGTGTGACCTGCGGTGTAAAAGAGCTTTGAGTCTTGTGTCTGACTTTCAAGTCAGTGTGTAAGGACTTGGGTTAGGAACCAAAGAACCGGAGTCCACAGTATGGAAGTTGGTCTGGCAGCTGAAGATTAAAGCTGGGATGCCCTTGAGCAAGGCACCCTTACCCAGCAGCTCTGGTCATAGAATCCTGTTTGTGTATTCGTGTATTTCACACTCAGGAGTGTGAGAAGCATGTCTCTCAGTGTAAAAAACTAAGTATGTCAAATCCAATGAAATAAGTTGTGATATTTCCTACAGCCCATGAAGGCAGCACCATGTTGTGCCCATCCTTCAGCCCTAGATGGCGTCGCTGCCCAGCGTGCTCCGCGGCACTGAGACAGCTGAGTCACAGATACATTTAGACCCAGATAAATAGATACTGTGAAGAGGGGCTACAATCAAGACACTGCTGTGTTTACTCCTCATTTTTGACCCCCCACCAGCGGCCACTGAAACTGCGTGGAAAGATGCTGACGATAACACTGAAGACCCTCCAGCAGCAGACGTTCAAAATGGAAATAGACCCCGAATTGACGGTGAGTAGAAGTTAACGGGGCTGAAGTAAACACGGTCAGGCCGGGAGGGCTGCCGTATAGACCGTAGCATAATCTTAGCTAATGTGGAGACAGGGTCGCGGTTAACACTGTTTAACGCCAGAAAAAGAGGTCGCTCGGATACTTCGTCATTGGACATTTTATCCTGATTCAATGTGACAAAAATGTTGTCAGACAAGTTAGCAATTCCGAGTAATCTTATTGTAATTAACAGAGTTCACGTAAGGTAATGTAGCCGGAGTTAGCTCGTATTCGACCGGAAATACGCATTTGTCTCTTCAGGGTAAAATCACAAAACCTTTATATTTATTACAAAAGCGCATAACACTGTTAATAAGGTAGCAGTTTAAATTCTGCTAATTCGTTTATGGAAACAGGGAAATTTAAAAGTACGTGTGGCAATGTTTGACTTCGGTTCTTGCCAATTCTCTGGGCCTCAAAACTATATCGAAGGCTTGGCCATCTTATTTTGAAAAACCAACACAGGAAGATTGTGTATTCTTCCGTTGAGCTTGATTAAGTTTGACTTGTTTCAGTTTGTAACCACGAATGACGATGCAATATTTTAAACCTGCCTTCTGTTTTTACATAAATGAAAAGAATAAATGTAAAACATGAAGAAGTTACTAATAAATTATAAACATCAATTGATAAAAGAGAATATCTGTTTAAACACAGTGGCCTTTATTTTGTTTGTCAGTTAATCTTTCTGGTACAATCTGGTAGATACCTGTCAGTTTTCATAATCCTTTATCAGAGATGAACTCTCCTAGATCACCCAATCAGGTTTACCATATGTTTAAATACTGATTTACTGAAAACCCATCAGAATACTGATTAAAACTAATTAAAAAATATTAAAACAAATTCAGAAAAGGAGACATGCATCGATCCGCTATTATTATTTTTTTATGTACCGATACTGATTCCAATACTTCTTTTTATCCTACTTAAAAGAGCCGACTGATTAATCGGCTGCAGGGGCGCTGCTTGTCAGCAGGCAAATTTGGGGCCCCAGACCATGACGGTAGGAAACCTCCTTATAGGGGCCCCATCTGAAAGTGTTCACTCTGATTGCCCTGCTAAACGCTGGTGAGAGGGCCCCACAAATTAACATTTGCCTAGGGCCCCAAGGGACTCTAAGATCGCCACTGATCAGCTGGACGACAACATCGGCCGATATTAACACACATTCATGTGACGTGTCGGCTAATTTGATCTCTGATGTGTGCTGATAAAACTTTAAACAAATGAATTCTATTTGAAATGTTTTTTTATTTATGATTGTTCATTCCTGAGTAAACCCAGCATTACATTTGTTATTGAAATAATACAAAATGTAATAATAAAAAATAATAACAACTAAAGTGATTTGAAAGTAATTGTTTCTGTCTTCACATACAAACAGGAAGCAGCATCAGGTTTTTCAAAATGAATCTTTTAAACTGAAGAGTATCATAGAGAAGGAGCTGCTATATCTCGTCTGAGCGTCGTCATGGAGACGATTTTTGGACTCTTCAGACAGTTCAGTGTGAACGTCATCAGAGTGAGACTGAGCGAGCTGAGGATGTTAAAAGTGACCGACCCTCTTTCTTGATTTGTGTGGATCGGCACGGTCAGTCCGATATCCGATACGGTAATTACGTCAAGATCGGACCTGATAGAGATATAAGACTGGATCTGTCCAGTCTCTACCTGAAAGCAGAGAAAAGTATAAACTAAGGGTTAGAAAGTGAGTCTAGAGGGGTTGGAAACATTTCATGTTCAAAGAGCAAGTAGCAAACATTTTGACTTTCTTCACAAAAAAGACAATAAAGAGGCTTAAAGCACCTCAAGGTCAGCATGTAGCGCAATGTGATTAACCAGTCAGGGAGGGACAGTGTGTCTTTGTTCTCAGAATATTAGATTTTTACCAACCTAATATATTATAAATGTAACTGTCTAGACAGGAAGCTTGATGCATAAACTGCATAATACAGACATTTAATCACAACACCATTTGAAGGACATCAACTTATGAAAAGCAGCTCATTAACCTAAAATCTAAAGTTATGACAAAATCCTAGACAAACATTCAGTCCTCAAGCTTCCACCCGGTCATGATCAGGGACGTGTGGTAAAAGTCTGAGTTGTTGAACAGTCAGGCAAAGTGTCAATGATCCATCTGTCGGTTGTTGTCAGGTTGAAGCCCTGAAGAAAAAAATAGAGGAGGACAGAGGAAAAGAAGGATTTCCTGCTTCAGGGCAAAAACTCATCTATGCAGGTGAGTGCACGACTTTATCAGAGTGACAAAACCAGACCAGTAAAAACTCAGGAGCAGTATGTAACTCTTACCCCTAGTGTTTAAAAAGGGTACTGCAGTCTAAATTCTAAACATTGTAGAGAGCTGTCTCTCCCCTCTCCTCTCTGTATTCAATGCTCACACAGGTCACCATGTGGTGGACTCTGAAGCTTCAGTGTTTAGCCAGCTCTGCATGGGTCTGTAAACCTTTCTGTGTTCTAACCTCTCTCCATTTTTCAAAAGCATCTCCAATATTGATCCTAGTTTGAGCACGTTTCTGCTCGTGGAGCTTATTAGAAACATGCAGAGGCTTTTTAGGTCGGGTACAATCACTTCTATCTGAACCACTTCTCTTGACCGCTTCCATCGCTGCAACACCTGTTGACCTGATAACTGCTCTCATATCTGACAAACCGAGGGGCGTCCATACAGCTCCTCCTGGAAATATCCAGATTTTTTCAGGAGTTTTCTGCAGGTGTGAAAACATTAAGAGAGTGCCCCCTGAAGTAGCAATATGTGACATGTCCTCCTTTACCTAAACTTCTGACTGTAGATTACAGTAAATACTAATGATAGTTTCCCTTAAAAAAGAGTCACAGTGCTCATTTTGGTAACATCCTACTAACCCCTGATATTTCATTATTTTAATCTGCTCATCTTCTCTTACATTGTTAAACTTCTTCTATTGTTGAAAAGTTCAGCATGAATCTCCTCTGATGTCCCATCTCTCCTTGAATGTCACAGGCAAAATATTAAACGATGACACCCAGCTGAAGGAGTACAAAATTGATGAAAAAAACTTTGTGGTCGTCATGGTAACCAAGGTCAGTGATTCTTCAGATTGTCGGGGTTTGGGTCAAGCTTTAATGAGAGGTATTAAACACCCTGACACAACAAGGAGGCCGTCGGTGAGTTTTTGTAGTGTGTCCAGCTCCGTTTGATACCAGTCAGCCCCAGTTGGCCTTTTTTTGGCTGACTACCGCCGCCTGCTGGCATGGAGAGTTATTGCCTCTCACGCATGTGCATGTGCATGCTTGGTGGTTGGCCGTCGGCTGTAGTCTTTGCGGTGCGTTCAAGTGCTACTTTTTGGCCAAGAGGTGAGTCGATGTGAGGCCACTTGTTCTCTGCTGTCTGCTTGGTGTGTCAGGGCTTTTACTTTGAAAGACGTTTGAGATGTTGATACAGAAGTAGAAGCCTCGTCCTGTTGAGTGTAACGAGTGATCTAGTGCAGCATGCCTTCATCATATCAACACTACTGATGCTCTTCATTTCATTTAGCCTAAACAAGACCCTCCTCCAAAAGCAACTCCCCAGCCTGCTGCAGCTCCAACACCCCCGTCAGTCTCAGCCCAAGCACTCTCCTCTGGTCCATCACAAATGCCCTCCACACCGACACATGCAGTGTCTGCACCCACACCCGCCCCCAAGTCAGGGCCCCCCTCTGAGAGCCCCTCCACAGTCCCAGGAAACACCCCGAAGGCCCCTGAGAAAGAGACAGCAGACTCAAACACAGCCGCAGACTCATCAGCAGCCTCGGCCGGTCCTGCTCCAGAACCTGTTCAAGCAGACCAGACCGCTGCCCCTGCAGACTGCCCCACCTCAGCTGCTCAACCTGAAGAGAAGCCAAGGGAAGACCCTGAGAATCAACCCCCCACCACTCCTCCAGTCCTCTCCTCTGCCTCCAGGTGAAAGGACACCTCAGTGTACACAGATTTAAATTCATGACCTGTTTGTCAAAATGTGATGTAGCTAGCTCAGGTTTGTACACTACAGTCTACAGTCTACAGTCTTCATTCACGGGGTGCGCACACTTACCACTTTTTAAAGTACAAAAAGAATACCTACAAATCTTTGAGATACTTTGGTTGCTGTTGATTCCTGAGTTTGTGCATGCAAACTCCATGGGGAAAGTAATGTTGACAATCTTGGTGGTATTTACATTTTTAAATTTTTAACTTGGCCCGTTTTGTAACTATTTTACTCAGGTGCTGGACGTGAAACATTTGTCCTCCTACGAGGGGGGGGGGGGGCTGGGGGTGGGGGATAATGTGTACTATCTTTTAGTACACCGTCACCCTGATGAGCACCTGATCTAGTTCTAATGTAGACACGCTTAACATCAGTGTACAAGCTGATGATGTCACTGGCATCATGTTAGCATAGCCACATTAGCATTAATTTCAAGTCCATCCTCACCCAGCTTCATAGACTTCTTCTGTCTGGTTTCTCGCTCACTCTGATTCTATTGGATGAAGACTAACTCAATAATATATCTCTTCTCAGCCTTGTCGATGAGCTCGGCCTCCTTGAAGAAGCAGCATCAATACTGGGTAAGACATCTGTGATTTCTGTCGTCTGTCACATGTGATCAAACAACAAAAGTGACATCACATCTTCTCACAGTTCAAAGAGTCTTTCTGGAAGACACAGACCGAGCAGTCCCACTGAAATTGTCTATATATAATACAACTTAAGTAGCAAGTGTCGGGGGGGGGGACGGGGACGTGGGACTCACTGATACATCAGCTTAACATCGGTATCGACCGATAAATCAGCCCTGTTGACAGACATCGGGGCATGAACCATAGGGATGCAAACTTCTTGCTCAGTGGATCTTCATTGACCTCCTGTCTGTGTCCTGTCTCTCCTGCTGGTCCTGCAGTGACCGGTCCAGCCTATGAGAACCTGGTGTCAGAGATTATGTCCATGGGTTATGAGCGAGAGCAGGTGGTCAACGCCCTTCGAGCAAGTTACAACAACCCAGACCGAGCGGTGGAGTACCTCCTCATGGTGAGGATGGAACCAGCCAGTGTGCAGTATTACCCCCCCCCCCACCTTATCCTAAAGAGTGTGGTTAATGTTTTGTACTGCAGGGTATTCCAGCAGAGGCCAGTGACCTCCCACCTCAGGAGCCAATTAGACAAAGTGTGCCATCCAACCCCCCCGCTCCTGCTGCCGCTCCTGCTGCTGCTCCTGCTGCTCCTGCTGCTCCTGCTGCTACTCCTACTCCTACTCCTACTACACAACAACAACCTCAGCAGCCTCCAGCTACTCCACCCAGTAAGAAAACACTAGTAACTTCTCACTGTTTGATATCTGTCTACTCAGGCTCAGGTAAGGCTTGTTTTATTGTGGTTTTACCTGGAGACCTTTGGCCAAGGTTTCATTCCAAAGTGGATTATAAATGTTGTTTGAATATATCTACACTTTAAAGGCAGTATTTAAAGGCACTTTTTCAGATTTTGGTTGAAATTGTCTTTAGGTCTTGACAGAAATTGATAACTCATGTTCTCTGAAAAGGAACAAAGAGAATCCGTCATCTATAGCAAGTCTGTAAAAACTTCAACCAATGTCTGCCACGAGGTACCAATCTGATGAACCAATCAGACGCCTCCCTGTCTCCCTGCTCACTCTCTACCTCTTGCGTGCTCTAGCCCACACTCAAAGAGCGTCACCAATGACGGAGTTTATTGTAGACAGAGCACTGAGGGAATGCTACTCTCAAAATCATGCTAGTTCTAGAAAATGACCAACCCTGCCTTTAATAAATAATAACCTAGAGGTCATGGAGCCACACTAAGTTTTGAATTCCTCCTGTAGAAATAAACCTTAAAGAGCCCATATTCTGCCCTTTTTGGGATTCATATATTTAATCTATGTACCTACTTTTGTATGTTCACAATAGATAAAGTTCTAAAAAAGTGTCTGTTTTCATGTACTGCTCCTCCTTGCTCCCTCTACACTCTGAGTCTGTCAGCTACACTCTGCTGAGCCCCCACTGTTAGACCCCACGTGGGACAAGTCGACTCTGATTGGCCTGCCGATCCGCTCTGTCGTTATTGGTCAGTTGCTCAGCACGCGTCTCAGAAATTGCTACATGAGCTGCTGGGCTTGCCACAACGAGCCAATGGGCTTAGATCAGTGATCTCACACTGACAATGACGTCAGACTGACAAATTTTTATCGAGGGGGGCTAGAACCAAGCGTTACATGTAGCTAATGCTACAGCTAACAGGAGGATGTAGGAGAAGCCGCGTTTCCGTGGACTTTGAATTTTTGCACATAGATGTGCACATGCACAGGACACTTGGAAAACACACTAAAGAGCATATAAAACCAGAAAAAACATAATATGGGACCTTTAAAGGGACGTGTGCTGTTGCTTAGGTTAGAAAAATAACAGACAGGATTATTAAGGGCCTTTCAGACACGGAGTGGTGGGTGCTGCGGTGCTCTCAAACACAGTCGTTGTCTATGTGTTGCTCCGAGCTGAGCGCAAGGTCGCGCTCTGCTGTCTGTGCAGAAGTAAAAATGTAGGCACCGCGCTCTGTGGCGACACCTCGCTGTGTAGGAGGGAAGATGTCCCACTTTCCTGAGCTCTAAAATATCTACCGGGACATCGTCAAGAAAAAACATCTTGATTAGAAACTTTATTCGATATGAATCACTGAAATGAGTGTTAAACGTTGACAGTTATGACATCATCACAGTAAACAGTCCTTCCTCTCCCAGCAGGTCTAGTGTCTGGCAGTCAGAGTCTCACTGCTGGGGGGGACTCTGTGTCCACGGGGAACCCTCTGGAGTTCCTGAGGAACCAGCCACAGTTCCAGCAGATGAGACAGATCATCCAGCAGAACCCGGCCCTCCTCCCGGCTCTGCTGCAGCAGCTGGGAAGAGACAACCCACAGCTGCTGCAGGTATCTGCACCAATATGCCCAGTGGGGGGTTCTGATCTGGTCTCAAGAAGTCTGTGTCATGAAGCTAAACCGGCAGTATTGTCCTGCTGCTCTGATTTTAAAAAATAAGTCACATACCAACAGAAATATAATCACACTTTATCACAGTGTGATGTCATTAAAATGCAGCTTCATTTTTACAGTACAAAGAATTTGCGTGCGTCCGTTTGTCCAATTAAATCATTGATTTTTATGACTTTCAGCAAATCACACAGCACCAGGAGCGTTTTGTCCAGATGCTGAACGAGCCACGAGGTCGAAACACGGGTGGGGAGGGGGCCGAGGCCCCAGAGTCACCGCAGACCAACTACATCCAGGTGACCCCCCAGGAGAAGGAGGCTATTGAGAGGGTCAGTGACAAACGCCTGTCAACATATCATACCATCATATTAGTGTAAAATACATAGACAGCTAACTTTAGTGTTTGAATCATCAAACAGTTATTCATATGAATGACTCTAAGAAAGTATTAAACTAGAGGGTCAGCACCTCCCAGTCTGAGCTCATGGTTCTTTGAGGGAAACAGTGGATTGATCCCTTCAGGTGGGGAGTGAGTCCCCGTCCCAAGTCGAGGAGTTACAGTGGTTTGGCTCGGCGTCAGCAGTAATGCAGGCGTTGAACAAGCTCTCCACTCACCGGTCCATCTTCGTTCCCACCCTCACCTGTGGTCGGGAGCTTTGGGTAGTGACAAAAGAATAAGATCAATTGAAATTAGTTTCCTCTGGAGGGGGTCTGGACTCAGCCTCAGAGAGAGGGGGGGAGGAGCTCGGAGTAGAGCCGCTGCTCCTTTGCATCGAAAGGAGTCAGTTGAGGTGGTTCGGGCGTCTGATCAGGATCCTCATGAACGCCTCTCTTAAGAGGTTTCCCAGGCACGCCCTACTGGGAGGAGACCCCAGGGAAGACCCAGAGTTATCTGGAGGGATTATATATCCCTTTGAACCCCTCAGGAACCCCCAGTAGGAGCTGGAAGGTGTTGCTGGGGAGAGGGACGTCTCATAATGAAAGAAAATGTTACAGATGCATTAAATACAAAAAAGTTTTCTCATTTATCCGTTATATAAAATTATCTTACTATCATGCAAAACCAAAAATATGAAAACCACAAATCTGTGAGTGAACTCTTTGGATGCCTGTTTGTGTAGTTTTGATGAATGGGTTCATATTTGTTTACCTCTGTCTTTCAGCACAGATCAAAGTTTAACTTTAATGACAGCTGAATCAATCTGTTGTTGTGTGTGCCAGTATACTCACCATGTGTGTTTGCTTCCAGTTAAAAGCACTTGGCTTCCCTGAAGGATTAGTCATCCAGGCGTACTTCGCCTGTGAGAAGAACGAGAACCTGGCAGCTAACTTCCTGCTACAACAATCCTGGGACGACGAGTAACCACGTGGCGCCGCAGAGGAGAAGACTGCGCTGTCAACGAGGGAGGAAATGAGGAGAGCCAGATCCTTTTATTTTTATTTTTTTTAATTTTTTTTGGCGCGATGGTTGTGATGATGATGGTGAAGACACATTATTACCATTGTCACATGAGCTCCCTCTGAGCGGCGCCTCACTGCTGCTACATCACGACAGCTGCCTCTCCAGTCTGAACATTTTAACAACAGTCTGCATCACCTTCACACACCAACAGGCTTTTATTTTGAAAGTTTCTCCTGCAGTCATACTGGAAAAATACAATACAAACACCACATCTCACACACGTTACAGAAACCTGTCGCCCTTCATGTGTGATGCAAACTGTTGACCTCTTTCTCTTTTAAAGCTCTCGTCTGATCTTTTCTTTCCGTCTGCTTCTTCTCTTGATAAAAAGCCCCAAACACTCAAAGAACTTAAAACCAAACGCGTTCAAAGAACACTTTTCTTGTTCAGGTGTAGGCCTTTCATTAACCACGCACACATGGCTGTGCTTTTGTTGATGAAATGATGAAATACTCAAAAGTGTTTGAAAATAAGTTTACACTATTTGGGTCAAAATTTTAACTCATCGTTTTTATTCTCTGAATCATAATTTTGATTTCACCCCTTTGTAGTTCATGAAATCAGGGGCGTGTCCAGACTGTTTGACTGGGGGGGGGGGGGCACTTGGGGCTCTGACTGGGCGTGGCCTGATGTTTAAGGACACACACATGCAAATTAATTTCTTCTCTTACCGTGTCTGTACCCACTAATGATCTGTATCACCTAACTTTCAAGAATACGTTTATTGGCCATTTGAAAGTGTTTATTCAGAAATGTTTTTGGTAAAGGCAAAGAAGGAAAAGTATTAATTTACAACTGAAAGCATTCAAATTACCAGCAGCCTGTTGAACACAGCCAGAATAGTTGATTTTGACTTAAGTCTCTTATTAGGCAAATAGCAAATCATAGATTTTTTGGGGTGGCCAATCAGATTTCTAGTCACGCCCCTGCATGAAATTGTATTCAGGATTAATTGTTGTTTTGATTAATTTTTTTTTGTTGTTTTTTCTTTTAAGAGTTCCAAAAATTATATTTGAAGTTTCTAATGAAGCGTGTCCACTCTGCGTTCTCATTAATGATTGACTTGTTACTAAAATAGTTGGTGCAGTTGTTGTGTTTTGTAGAGGACGAGGGGACACTCGGAGACACCACTTCACCTGTGGAGCGTCTCTTTGTTTTTGAAGTGCCACAAATGCATGCTTTGATATTTCCTTTGCTGGAAGACGACACGCAGCACGACTCGTCTACTGTCACACGTTCACCTCACATCCTCTATGCATCTTAAAGCTGGACGAGACTGAGCACTCGCTCCCTCATGCCTTATGAGTTGTTAAAGACTTGAACGCATTTTAATGTCACACACGACGTTGTACATCATGTAGAGTGTTTCATCTTTAGGGTTGGGATTGTTCATTCATTAGTTATTGTTTCAAAATGGACTAAAGGGAATTTGAATTTGCACCTGAACTACGGAGCCCCTGAAGTCCCAAAAATACAAAGTAATCATCTTGTGAGCTCGAGATATTTATTATATTTTTGACTTTTTGAGACTTCTGGGCCTCTGTAGGAAGCCAAACAAAACAGAACCATTTTCATCTCTCAGCATGTGCTTTGCTGTTTCTCCTTTGAGTTCTCTTGATTGTGTTTGAACTGGAAGTGACTGGACGTTTTGTATCATATTGTAAATGGGATATACATACTTTGGGACAAAAGGCACTTTACGGTGATGAAGGCGTCTCCTCAGCTGTGAGGGGGGGTCGCCGGTTGCATGGGATTGTTACAGAGTTATTTGTAGCTGCATGGCAGTGGGGGGTAAGGAATGATGAAACCAACAGTGTGGTGATGCTCTGATCTCAGTTCATCTGTTTGACCATCTCTGTCAATGTTTTCTTTTCTCTTGGGGGGGGGGGGTTATGTAGAATATGAACAATCTGATGAACACCTGTTGAGGTTTTGCTGACTAGTTGTGAAAACTTTGGTTTCATCATCGTGTAAAATAAACGGCTTTTACAAAGCGGGTGAGACGTGTCTGTTATTTATCATCAAGTGTTGGGCCGGCTCAGTCTGGAGGGACGCGGGTTGTTTAGGTCCCGGTGGAGACTGGTCTGGTTTCTAGAGAGGTACGCAGGTGTTCACTTGAGCAAGGCGAAGAACCCCCAACAGCTCTGGTGTGCACCTGTTAATGCATGTCCATAAGTCCTATCTGTAGATGTGTGTATTTCAATTCTTCTCTAAACCCTGCACACCATCCACAACACAGATTTTTGTTTAAATTTTTACTTCATCATTTTGTTCTACTCTGTTGCAAGTTAACGTTCATGTTTAGGCATTTAGGCTATTATATTATTGTGGACCGGAGGTCTTTGTCCCTGCAGCAGAAGCTGGGCTCTTGAGTAAACGGGGCTCCCCTGACCTTCAGCGAGGTGATCTGTTACTACTACCACCTGACGTCCCTGAAGCCCAGCCTCCTCCATCAGACTGTGTTGTCCCAACAACCACCACCGTCCTTCTTCATGCACAGCCTGCTTTGACCTCCACCTCAGCGGGGAGGAAGAGTGGACAACAGGAATGAGAGGAATACAAAGGAGAAATCCTTCCTGCATATTATCCCATATGCTCTTTTATAAAGCGTCTCCAGATAACACTTGTTATGAATTGGAGATATACAAATAATGATTGATTGATGGACTGACAGACTGAGATGAGATTTTAGACGCCACAGGTTTGTTTCTCTTTAGCATGGAAGACTAAACTTGATAAGGTCTTGTAGCTTAATTCAGGCAGAATGCTACAATATAATTTTTTTTTAATCCATAATTTGAATTCCATGCAACCCCATATGGGGTCTGGACCTCAAGGTTGGGAAATCTGGTGTCATTTGGGTCATATGTGTGAGAAGCATGTCTCTAAATAACAGGGTGTGAAACCATAATATTTCCCCTCAGGATTAATAATATGTAAAATAAAAACACCTCAGATAACTTCACTTGAACTCTGACTGGATTAGTCTTAACTGATGATAAGTCTCACGCCTCCAAACATCACTCTAAACTCGCATCATGAGAGTCACATTTCTTTGCAAACTAGCCTCGACATTTTTATCTTATAGGTATATTTTAGGGATGCATCTGTTTAACTTCGGACATCGCCAGGTCGGAATATTATGTGGCATTAACAGTTCCTTCTATATGATCAAAATGGAAAGGAAATGTTAAATGGATTTGAGCTTTTATGACACTTTTCTAGTCTTCTGACTTTTACACCACAGGTCACACCTACACATTCACACACTGATGGTAGAGGCTGCTGTGTAAAGAGTCCATCAGTATTAACTCATCCATTCATACACATTCACACACTGATGGTAGAGGCTGCTGAGTAAAGAGTCCATCAGTATTAACTCATCCATTCACACACTGATGGTAGAGGCTGCTGAGTAAAGAGTCCATCAGTATTAACTCATCCATTCATGCACATTCACACACTGATGGTAGAGGCTGCTGAGTAAAGAGTCCATCAGTATTAACTCATCCATTCATACACTGATGGTAGAGGCTGCTGTGTAAAGAGTCCATCAGTATTAACTCATCCATTAATAAACATTCATACGCCGCCACCAAAGCAGAAGTGTCTTGCCAAAGGACACATCGGACATGTTGCTTCAGGAGCTGGGGATCGAACCCCTGGCCCTTTGGTTGAGAGACGACTGAGCCACTGCGGTCCTACATCAAGATGATCAGCTGAGATGGAGCAGCTCCTTCTATATGATCAAAAGTACAATTTTTACACTTCTGATTAAAGAATTTAATTTGAAAACCTCACTGTTGTTGCTCCTTCCTGTATGTGCTGTGGTCAAAATATAACATGAATCAAGCACCAGAGAAGGTCTGTGACCCTGTATAAACCAGCTCTCTGAGAACGATCCGTTTTGGTGTGTGTGTCTCTTTAAATGCAATGACCCCCCCCCCCCTGAGTTTTCCCAGTAGACATCACTCCTCTGTAGAGAGAATAAAAATGGCCGACCTGCGTTAAAGTTTTGTTCTAGGCTGGGGGTGGAGTCTATGGGTGGAGATACCAGGGGAGGGGAGGGGATTTTTTTTAACCAGAATCCCACTGTGACATCACAAGGAGAGCACATTTGAAACAGAGCATTTTTCTCTGTGTTGTAAGACTTCTGCAGACCACAAACAAAGGACTGGATGGATTTATTTCACATGATGTGGGTCAGTAGACACTCAGGTTACCCAAATATATGTTCAACAACACTGAAGAAGTGGATTTTCAAAATATGTAGGCTACCAGCTAAAAATCTTGCCTGGGACACCAAGTGGGTTCTGCATAATACCAACAAAAACATTAACACAATTATTATTTTCAAAATATCGGTGTCGGTACATATGTATCGGATCAGAAGTGAAAATAAAAAGTGGATCAGTGCCTCTTTAATGTTGAATGGAGTTGCGAGCAGCACCTGGGATGAGGAGGCATGGCTGGGTTTGTCCGCTAAGGGGAGTGTTGCCTTGGAGAGGGAGGGTGGGGGAGTGTTGCCTTGGAGAGGGAGGGTGGGTGCGTTCCCTCAGCAACAGGGAAGATGGCAGCTCTCACATCTCTCACCCAGGTAAAGATGCAGCTTTTTACGCCTCGACACTTCTGCTTAACGCCAACATATCTACTCACATGACACAGCATGTCACATTCATGACTGTGAATGAGATTTTTTTCTTGAGCAGAACTTGAGCTCGCCCTAAAATGAAGGCAGAGTCATGGCAGCCTCAGAGGGGCCTGTTTCAGTACCGTTAGATAGCGGGCTTGTTAGCTACAGCTGGTACTAGCTAACCTAGCCGTGTTAACCCCACGATTTAATAACCCGTTACCTATCTCATTAATACAGTTAACATGTATCATGAGCTATGTATACAGAGTGGAGACAAGCTGAGTGTACGCCTCACCATTTAAATATTACGATAACGTTTAGTCCTTAAGATAGCACGTCTTGGCTAGCCTAGCCTTGATGCCCTGTAGTGTTAAGGATGGCGAAAAACCAGAGGGCATGCTAGGCTAACCCCAAGCCGACCTGGGCTGTGTTTGGATTAAGGATGCTGTGTTGAGTCGACACACTGATCTTAATGTTTAGTGTTGGATAGTTTCCGTTCAGGATGGTGAGCATATTCTCCTCCCTGCAGCGGTTGCGCAACAGTCACATAATAAAGCAATGCAGAGGGTTTGTGATATCTTTGTTATTGATTGTGAGCAGCAAGGCATCAACACAAATTAAATTAGACTTAACGAGTGTTTGAATTAAGTTTTTTTTGTGGTTATACCTGTTTTAAACATGCTGGAAAGTTGTGCGCTGAATGTTGTGCGCTGAAGATATGTATGAGGCTGTGACTCAGTGGTGGAGTCGGTAGTCTTCTAACCTGATGGTCAGGGTTCGATCCCCAGCTCCTGCAGCTACATGTCCGATGTGTCCTTGAATGAATGAATGAAACCTTTATTGCCCCTAGGGGAATTTGCCTTGCACAGAGAGCTAAAAAACACAATACAAACAAATTTACAGGACAGCACATAAGAACACATAAAAACACACTAAAGCGTCACATGATTCAATGAGGGATTTCAGCAAGTTAAATAAAGTGCAGAGTTCCAAGTTCGTCCTGTATAATCAGTTCTTATTAAGCAGCTGAATACTGCACAGTACAAAGGATGTAATGCCTCTTTTAGTCCTCATCCTGGGCATTCTGTACCTGCGCCCTGAATTCAAGCAAGACACTTAACCACAAGTTACTCCCACTGCTTCATCAGCGGCGTGTGAATGTGTATGAATGGATGAGTTAATACTGATGGACTCTTTACACAGCAGCCTCTACCATCAGTGTGTGAATGTGTATGAATGGATGAGTTAATACTGATGGACTCTTTACTCAGCGGCCTCTACCATCAGTGTGTGAATGCGTATGAATGGATGAGTTAATACTGATGGACTCTTTACTCAGCGGCCTCTACCATCAGTGTGTGAATGCGTATGAATGGATGAGTTAATACTGATGGTCTCTTTACACAGCGGCCTCTACCATCAGTGTGTGAATGCGTATGAATGGATGAGTTAATACTGATGGTCTCTTTACACAGCGGCCTCTACCGTCAGTTAGTGCTGCAACTAACGATTATTTTTTATGTCGACTAATCTATTGATTATTTTTTCGATTAGTCGATTAATCACTATTATTTTGCATACTATTTTTGATCCCCGTTTTACCTCACCTGCTTAAGCATGCACACATGTGAATTTCAACCAGCAAAAGCAAATTAGAATAATGTCACATGAAACATGAGTTTGGCACATAGTAAGTATATTTTTTAGTAAGTATATTTTTTGGATCACAATGAAAAGGAAATAAACTAAATAATCCAAACTTGTGTGCAAACAAAAGTGCAAGTAGTCTTTGATGTATAAATAAATAACTCAAAATAGTATCAGTTCACCTGCCTTGCAGATTATAAATAACTAAAGGATGGCTTTCTTTAAAGTGACTGTTAATAGCCCATCCAAAGTCCAAAAGTCCAAATAAACTTAATGTAAACAAATCAACCTTCCAGCCCAAGTGACTGAACAATAGATTATAATTTCTTTAAATTGCAGTGCAGGAACGTGAGCATGTCAACATGTTCAGGTGTGAGGCTGGTTCTCTTCTTTTTGGCCATGTTTCCAGCTGCTGAGAAGAGATGCTCAGAGGGCGTAGAAGTAGCTGGAATGCACAGGAATGACATCTGCTTGAAGCCTTCATCCTCAACCATAGATAATGGTCTCATGTCCATGACGATCATGTTGAGGACACTTTCTGTGAAGACCTCAGCCATTTTTGGGGTGCATGAGCCTTTCCTCATGACATACTCATCCACACACCTTTGCTTGGCACTTAAAAAAATGAGAGAAAAAATAGCAAAAATGTAACAATGTGAAAGAAATATGTTATGTTTAACACTTATCAATAATACCTTAAACAAATATCACTGATTTCTCCAAAATTTAATCTCTTACAAAGTATTATGATTGTGCTCCAAATCTGTTTAATTGGTTGACATTAAGTGGAGGTTTACAATTCAGATTGAACGCAAATATTAACAGGAAAAAGAAAACTTAATGGTTTAGCAAATTGACATGACATGTCAAGTTTCTACATCATCAAGGTTTGTTTTTCCTCTAATATAAACGTATCGTACTGATAACTAAAGCAAATTGCACACTGAATAGCGTTACTGAACAAAACGTTATCCAGGCAAGTATCAAAGATGGTGTTAGTACGTATTTTCATGGATTCATTCATCTTGATAATTTTGTGGACATATCTTTAAATTGTGTCAACCATCTCACAGTAATTCTTCTTTGGGTCTGTGAAGCTGTAACCTTATATGGGTGAAGCACCTAAGTAGTAGCAGATCTATATATGGATAGGAGCCAACTATATGTTGTCAGCAACTGTTTGCTAGACAGAGAGTCTACATCTGTTACGTATACAAATCAGTGTCATGTCATCTTTATTGTTTTATAGTGATGTACCCAAATGGAAAGGAATTTGTGGGCTGTACCTTTTAGCAGAATATAAGCCACACTGTGTGATGAAGACTTTGCCATTTTGCCCATGATGGCCACTTTGCCAATGATCATCAATGATTGTGAGATCTTGGTCAGCATGGGTCAGCGATGGTCTACACTTTGTCAGCCATGTGTGTTGTGTTTCTGTGTTGTCTGACCATGGCTGAATAAATCTAAGATGATCCACAGTCTGTTTCACCATTTTATAATTGTCCATCTACTACAGAAATAACCCCCCCCTAACAGATGGTTTTGCGACTGACTAACATACGGCACCAATGTTATAAGTAGGATACTTGAATTAATCCTTGTGCATGAAGCACAAAGGGCTCAGTAATGCAAAAGATCTAAAAGATATTCATGTAACTTGCAAACTCACCCACTCGCGGTATTTGAAGACACTGCAGCTACAGGGTGTCTGCGTTTCAGGTGTTCGTGCATTGCCGTAGTGCTGCCATGGAAGGAGAGTGTGACTTCACACAGTTTGAACTTAACGTCTTTCGCCTATTTGTTTTCGATAAAATGTTCCCAAACTTTGGAAGCCCTGGGTCATCTTTTTCAGGCATCCTCCGTGCTTTCCGCCATTATTTATGTGAACTTTTTCTCCGTTTCTGTAAATAATGTTAAAATTGGGAGCGATACTGCCCCCACCACTTCCTGTAGTGAACTGCAAGTACAGATGAGTTTTTACCGGCCGGTATTTGATATTACCAATAACTAAAACAATAATACAATGCGTCAACGCTCAAATTTATATAGTCGACGTAATCGATTATGTTGACTAATCGTTGCAGCCTCTGCCATCAGTGTGTGAATGTGTATGAATGGATGAGTTAATACTGACGGACTCTTTACACAGCAGCCTCTACCATCAGTGTGTGAATGTGTATGAATGGATGAGTTAATACTGATGGACTCTTTACTCAGCAGCCTCTACCATCAGTGTGTGAATGTGTATGAATGGATGAGTTGATACTGATGGACTCTTTACTCAGCAGCCTCTACCATCAGTGTGTGAATGTGTATGAATGGATGAGTTAATACTGATGGACTCTTTACTCAGCAGCCTCTACCATCAGTGTGTGAATGTGTATGAATGGATGAGTTAATACTGATGGACTCTTTACTCAGCAGCCTCTACCATCAGTGTGTGAATGGGTGAGTTAATACTGATGGACTCTTTACTCAGCAGCCTCTACCATCAGTGTGTGAATGGATGAGTTAATACTGATGGACTCTTTACTCAGCAGCCTCTACCATCAGTGTGTGAATGTGTATGAATGGATGAGTTAATACTGATAGACTCTTTACTCAGCAGCCTCTACCACCAGTGTATGAATGGATGAGTTAATATTGATGGACTCTTTACTCAGCAGCCTCTACCATCAGTGTGTGAATGGATGAGTTAATACTGATGGACTCTTTACTCAGCAGCCTCTACCATCAGTGTGTGAATGTGTATGACTGGATGACTTAATACTGATGGACTCTTTACTCAGCAGCCTCTACCATCAGTGTGTGAATGTGTATGAATGGATGAGTTAATACTGACGGACTCATTACTCAGCAGCCTCTACCATCAGTGTGTGAATGGATGAGTTAATACTGATGGACTCTTTACTCAGCAGCCTCTACCATCATTGTGTGAATGTGTATGAATGGATGACTTAATACTGATGGACTCTATACTCAGCAGCTTCTACCATCAGTGTGTGAATGTGTATGAATGGATGAGTTAATACTGATAGACTCTTTACTCAGCGGCCTCTACCACCAGTGTATGAATGGATGAGTTAATATTGATGGACTCTTTACTCAGCAGCCTCTACCATCAGTGTGTGAATGTGTATGAATGGATGAGTTAATACTGATGGTCTCTTTACACAGCAGCCTCTACCATCAGTGTGTGAATGTGTATGAATGGATGAGTTAATATTGACGGACTCTTTACTCAGCAGCCTCTACCATCAGTGTGTGAATGTGTATGAATGCAGCAGCCTCTACCATCAGTGTGGTGAATGTGTATGAATGCAGCAGCCTCTACCATCAGCGTGTGAATATGTAGGTGTAACACTGGTGTAAAAGAGCTTTGAGTCGTCAGAAGACTAGAAAAAAATTGTACAACTTACAATTTACCATGGAGGTCTAAAGAAAGGAAATCATATCATATATTTCTTTGCAGCACTGGTAACATATATTGTGCACACAAGATAATAACACAAGATATTTATTCTCACTTTTTGGGACATTGGGAAGAAAGCCCTCTCGTCCATTGAACTCCCAATATGAAGTGCTTCCATCGGGCCGGCGCTTCAGTCTGCCACGAGTCAAACAAAAAAAAATATTTGTAACAAATGCAATCAAATTATTATATTCATAAAGTAAAAAAAAACAAACAAAAAAAAACATACCATTCGATCCTCCCCCTGAATATTAGTGCCCAGCATCTGCGAGGTGCACAATGTTTTTTTATGACGTGACTGTTTTAAAATGTAATATTTGAAGGTGCACTATGTAGTGTTGGTAAATGTTCATAACTCTATACACAAACTGTCCTCAGAGGAACATGTGGTCCCTGTAACTGTTTGAAGATAAACTGACATGAGAAGTTGTGGTGGGGGGCCGGACCACTGAAACTGTAACTCTCCTGGTCACTTTTTAGCTCCAAACAGAGTCAAGGGACCCGTTTTATTCTTTAAATAAAGTTTGTGTATTCAGTTCAGAAAATATAGCATAGCATGTTTAACTTCTCCAACTTTCTAATGTCTACATAGTGCACCTTTAATTAAATACTGTTTTTACAAAGCAAGTGGACTGTGATGTTGTCAAGGTCTCCAAGCGCTCTTCTGGTCTCTCTCTGTGCTTGAATTAGTGCTGGGAATCTCCCACAACCCCACCATACATATCCTGATACACATTGATTTGGGATAATGACCATGTCCTACACAGACTCACTACAACAGCTGTTTTTTAATGTTGAGAATAACAGCAGAGGCGTATTGACGATCCTACAACTTGAAACTCTTCAATTCAGCTCCTCAGAGATCCTAACACATTTAAATATTTTAATCCAAGATATATGGCGTTGCTGTGAACTGCATCATCAGACAATTGTCTTTCAGAACTGTCATCACAGCTCTGCAGCCGCATCCATTCTGTAACATCTGGATCCATATGTGTGTTTGCAAGGAGCACAAGACGATATATTGTCGTATTGACTTTTTGAGCCCTAACTTGAATGTCGTCCTGTTTGCCGTCATGTCTCTTTTCTTGTGAATCGTGGACAAAGTTATTTCCTATTCTTTAGGGGCTCCATAGGATCCTCACTGTTTCAGATAACATGGAGTTGTTTTGGTGTAATAACATTTTCTCTCTGTCACAGCTGTCAAGCGGGAACCCTGTTTATGAGAGCTTTTACAGACAGGTAAGGTGACGGGCTAACTGTTACCCCAGTTTATTTAAATCTCCTGTGAGATGTTGTCAGATATCTTCAGAGGGGTCCATTATGTGTTTTTAATTTGACTGACAGCTCTCAGACCTCTAAAATAGCTGATGTGTTTTGCTCCAAGGTGGATCCTGGGAACACGGGGAGAGTGGGACCAACAGAAGCTGCCTTGTTCTTAAAAAAGTCTGGACTGCCTGATATCACACTGGGAAAGGTAGGTACTGAAGCTTCAGTGTTTGCTCCTCGTGTAGTCAGTCTGCTGTAGTGTGTTTTCACAGTTGGAACGCTGTGTTTGCGTTAACATTTTGGAGGGATCAGTGGTGAGGCGCTGATGACAATCTGCCCAAATGTTTGCATGCTGAGTGTAAATGCATGAACAGAAACTGCTGTTCTTGCATAAATATAGCAAAGAAACCTCATTGTAGGGCTGGGTGATACGACCTCAAATCAATATCACCATTAATTGAACATTTGACCTCGATTAAGATTCATGAACGATTATTAGTTTTTTTGTTTTTTGCCCTCATAGTTCACTGACAATGTTTCTACTGTAAATATGATCAACTAGTAAAGCTGAGATATGTTTTCTAATGAAAGAGTTCATATCTGATGAACTATTTTGAGGTTATTTATTGAATATTTTAAACTGAAATGAAAACGACACCCTCAAAGTCCAGTTTGTTTGATTTGTGTGAGTGCTTCCTCGGTCCTGGCATGCTTTGAAGAAGTGTGCTTCAGCACGGTACAGTTCATGCACGGGTACACAGCGTGGACAGCCTTCATTATGGATCTCAGAGTGTTCTGTCTGTATGTGACTAACATGACTCAGAATAAGACACAAAGTCAGTAAAGTAGCTCTCATGTTCTCTGTGCTGTTACGGACGCTGACTCTACAGCGCGTCCCTTTTATTTTTATTTATTTATTTTTGAGTCCACCTGTCTTCTAAACTAAGTAGCTTCATGATCTTGTAAAGCCATGCATATGTTGTATAATGACGTTATGTACAAGAGGTAACCCTCTTGTACATAACAAGGCTCAGGCCTGGTTAGTCCTGGAGCAGTGTGAGCGCAGGCCAGAGGGGGAATGGAGAGGAGGGCGGGGGGGCAGTACAGGACAACTTGGCCGAGTGTGAGTGCCCCCTAAAGAAACCTTTTGCCCTAATGTCTATCAGTGTGTTGTGTTAAAGGTTTTAGTTGACACAGTCATGAAGTAAACAGCAGATTCATGTCATGTTTCATCTACGTGAATGTATCTTTGATTTTCCTGTTTGTCCAGTGCCAGTCCCCCTCTCTCACTTCTCCTTACACCTGGACAGTTATTATGTAAAGGGTTCATTGTTCTCTAATCGTCAGAGGTGTGTCCACCCCTACTGTCAGCTTTAGGGCTTTTGTTATGAAACCTCTGTTTGAAGCATTCATCCATCACTTCTGCTTTCTTTGACCTCTTTGGTTGAGCGATATTCTCAGATGTGTCGTGGGTTTCATGATTTAATCAGACGTGACCTCTCAAGTGTGTGTCTGCAGGTAGGAGTGTTAGCTCACCTCTGACCTTCTTCTAGTGACGCTAACTACGTCATCACGTCTTTGTATATTTCCTGATTGCGTTAATTTGGTGTCCCAGTCCGTGAGGTCATGTTGCGTTTTGGCGTTGCAGAAGGCACAGCGGGAGCTCCACACACACACACACACACACACACACACACACACACACACACACACACACACACACACACACACACACACACACACACACACACACACACACACACACACACACACACACACACACACACAGCGCTGTGCTCCCCCGCTGGCTCTGCTGATCCCGTCTCTCCTCTGTAACACCTCTATTACTACCTCTGAAGACGGTACAGAGGGGGGTTACTTCGCCCCCCCATTACGCCTCTGCCACAGTGGAATTGAAGTCCAAACGTCACAGTAGTGTAAATATGGCGGCTTGTAACTAGCATGTAAAAAGCGCTAATGTTGGAATTTCTGTGGTGACTATGTTGCCATGGTCTCAGTGGGACAGGCTCCTGAGATAAGACAGGAAAAAAAATGCGGAAGTAGCAGACGAAGCAACGGAATCCTCTATATGATACAATAATCTCAGGGAATAAACGTCACTCCCACCTCCTATTGGCTCGAGGTGAATTCTCCTGATTATATCCTGCTGCGTTCTCACATCAGCTCACTCTGACTTGCGGCAGAAAAAATGCTAGAAGTCTGGCAGGAGAAACTCCGGGTTAAAGTCAGAGAGAAACATTCAGCTGTTTGTGTTCACACATGACCCTCTTCCTAGAAATGTCCAGTTTTTCAGGAGAATATGGCTAGTGGGTACGCCCTGTTAAAGGCATCCACAGCTACAAACAACATTCAACTAAGAGGTACAATGTATATGTAGAAAATATTTACAGCAGATAAAGTGTATTGCTCAGTTAAAAAGTAAAGAATCTAAAAATATATAAAGTCAGATTGAGGTTTTTATCCTCTGTGTCCTCTCTCTGCTGACAAACACTGCTGGCTGATCGATATCACTTAAGTCTTATTTTCTGGGAATGACAACTTGACCCGCATACTGCCAGGACTTTCTTCAGTTTCCCATTAACCTGTTCACTACTGTGTCATTCAGCTAGCTGAAGACGTTATGACATCTATGAGACTGAAAGCTTTGAGGTTATAGCTTGAGGGAGTGGGGAAATACCACATTTACTCCTTTTTGTCTGAGAAGACATGAAGAGCAAGACCAAGTCCCGCCTCCGTCTTTGTCAGCAGGATTTTCATGTGGTCACTCGGACAACATTTTATACAGCCGATAAAAACACACCGGATCAGAAAGTGAAGTCTTTAACTGGGTATTTCTTTTTTGTCCTGTGTTTCAGATCTGGGATTTGGCAGATCCTGATGGCAAAGGCTTCCTGGACAAACAAGTAAGGAGCAGTCACATGACCTCTTAATGTCTTTGTTAATGTTTTAATCATTCAATGAATCCAATCACAATGTTAGAGCGATGCTCAGCAGGGTATGTGATGTGCTTTAGTGTCAGCTGCAGCTCTCGCTCTAGAAGGTAACTGTAACTATTTTAAGGTCTTTAATTCTCCTGATGATGATGAACAGCGATGTGTGTATCTCCATCCACCAATGGGAAACAGTCATGTGACACAGGCTTCTGAAGACTGCAGAGGCAGTGATGGATATTTATGGAGGCGGTTCTTTTCCCCAAAGAGAGAGAAATGAGAAACCTGAAACCCAGAGTAATAATGTGGCATGAATAATATCAAACATAAGTAAAGTTTCATTAGTGTCAAAGTGCAAACAAAATACCATCATGGGAGGCTGGAGGCGGGGTTACACCTTGGACTGTTCACCAGCCAATCACAGGGCTGACATATAGAAACAGATGTAGCGTATCTACTTTTAATATTTAATATAACTCGGGGCACCATCCTTGTTAAGAAAGGATTACTTTCTTAACAATATTACTAATATTACTTGTAGTAATTAATGAATCTATAAATCTGTCTCCTATCATTGGGATGAATTCTCAAGCAGTGAAAACCATAAAATTACACAGACAAAGTACTGAAAGTTTATATGCAAGTTTAATAAAGAAAAATGATGAACAGAAGAATTTCAAGGAAATGCAAAGGTAATATCAGTATAATTACGACAGTGATATAACTTGAAAAACAATAAAATTGAATGGTTTAGATTGTCATGGTAAGATCCTTATATCAAGTTTGGAGTTTAACTATATTGTTTGAGGGATTTAACGAAGTGGGATTTTGAGAAATAAAAATAAAAAGGGAACTTAATAAATTTGATGAAGTTGACTCTGAGG